TGTCAGTATGTGTGAGTGTCTGTGTGTCAGTAAGTGTGAGTGTCTGTGTGTCAGTGTGTGTGAGTGTCAGTGTGTGTGAGTGTGTGTGAGTGTCTGTGTGTCAGTGTGTGTGTGTGTGTCAGTGTGTGTGAGTGTTTGTGTGTCTGTGTGTGTGTGTGTGTGAGTGTTTGTGTGTCAGTGTGTGTCAGTAAGTGTGAGTGTCTGTGTGTCAGTGTGTGTGAGTGTCAGTGTGTGTGAGTGTCTGTGTGTCAGTGTGTGTCAGTGTCTATGTGTCAATGTGTGTGTCTGTGTTTCAGTGTGTGTGAGTGTCTGTGTCTCAATGTGTGTGTGTCTGTGTGTCAGTCTCTGTGTGTCAGCCTCTCCTCCCCACTCGACACTCTTGCCCCCATCACCTCCCGTACTGTCTCCTACTCTCGCTCCTCCCCCTGGTTCACCACCCACCTCCGCTCACTGAAGAGCCAGGTGCGGGCCGCTGAACGCACCTGCCTCAAATCTGGCCTAACGGTCCACCTACAAATCTGGCTGGACCTCCTCAAAATCTACCGCTCCACTCTAGCCTCGGCCAAATCGTCCTTCTACTCCAGGATAATCCTGGAGGCGAAGAACAACCCCAGGCTACTGTTCTCTACCGCATCCCAACTCTTCCGTCCCCTCCGCCACCCCGCGCAGGTCATCTCCTCCAACCTTCACTGCGAGGAGATGCTGGATTTCCTTGAATCCAAAATCAAGGGAATCCGCTCCGCGGTCACTTCCCCTCCAACTTCCACCCACCACCCACCCCTTCCCTCCCACACTCCGACTCCTACCCATCCTCCCCTACACACCTTCGTACCCGTTTCCCCACCCTCTGTCACCAAACTCATCCTATCCCCACCACCTGCTCCCTTGACCCCATCCCCACTCCACTCCTTATCTCTCAGCTCCACCTCCTTGCCCCACATATCACAGACATCATCAACCTGTCCCTCTCCTCTGGCTCTGTTCTCATTCCCCTAAAAACTGCCACCATCACTCCCACTTTGAAAAAACCCTCCCTTGATGCGTTGCAGCTATCAAGCTACCGGCCCATCTCCAACCACCCCTTCCTGTCCAAGGTCCTTGAAAAAGTTGTCGCCTCCCAACTGCGCTCTTTCCTCTCCACCCAGTCATTATTCGAACCCCTTCAGTCGGGTTTCCGTGCTGCCCATAGCACAGAAACTGCCCTCTGGTCAAGGTCACCAATGACATCCTGACCATCTGTGACCAGGGCTCCCTCTGCCTCCTCGTCCTCCTCGACCTATCGGCAGCATTCGATACGGTCGACCACGCTATCCTCCTCCATCGCTTGTCCTCCCACCCCAACCTTCAAGGCCCTGTCCTTGAGTGGTTTCGGTCGTACCTCTCCCACCGTCTTCACTTTGTCTCCACGAATGGTTTTTCCTCCACCCCCGCACTGTCTCGTGCGGTGTCCCTCAGGGCTCTGTCCTCGGTCCCCTCCTCTTCACCCTCTATATGCTCCCCCTTGGTGACATCATCCGCAGACATGGGGTTAACTTCCACATGTATGCGGATGACACCCAACTCTACCTTTCCTCCTCTACCCTCAACTCCACGACCACCGATGTCCTGACAGCTGCCTGTCCGACATCGAGTCCTGGACGAGAGACAACTTTCTTCAGCTCAACGTGCGCAAAACTGAGGCCCTCCTGATTGGCTCACGTCAGCGCCTCCGCACCTCAGGCGCTGACACCATCAGCATCCAAGGCTGCACTCTCCACCTCTCAAAGCCAGTCAGGAACCTCGGGTTCTGTTCGACCCTGAGCTGTCCTTTCTCCCCCATATCCGCGCCACAACTGGCACCGCCTTCCATCACCTCCGGAATGTCGCCAGACTACGGCACTACCTCACCCCTCACGCTGCTGAAACTCTGGTCCACGCCTTTATCACCTCAAGGCTGGACTATGGGAACTCTCTCCTCGCCGGCCTTCCCGGCACCTCCCTCCACAAGCTGCAGGTCATTCAGAACTCTGCAGCTCGTGTACTGTCCCGCACCAGGCTTCGGGACCACATCACTCCCACCCTCGCTCGCCTCCACTGGCTCCCCATCCCCCAGAGGATTGAATTCAAGATCCTCATCCTCACCTACAAGGCCATTCACGGCCTTGCTCCCTCCTACCTCTCCGACCTACTATCCCCCTACCTACCTGCCCGTACCCTCCGTTCCTCTGGCTCCGGTCTGCTCCACGTCCCCCGCCCCAACCGCCCTACCATCGGTGGTCGGGCCTTCAGCCTCTCAGCCCCGAGGCTCTGGAACTCCATCCCCCAGTGCCTTCGCCGCTTCCTCCCTTTCCTCCTTCAAGGCCGGTCTCAAGACCTTTCTCTTTGACCGTGCCTTCAGCTCCCCTCTCGACTCTCTACCCCCTCCTCGCTCCCTCCCTTCCCTCCCCTCACCCTGACCATTTCCCCTCTGCTCGGGTCCCGACCCAACTGTCCAGCGCCTTGGGACGTCCTCCCAATGTGAAAGGTGCTCTATAAATGAAATCTTGTTGTTGTTGTTGTATGAGTGTCTGTGTGTCAGTCTGTGTATCAGTGTGTCAGTGGTGTGAGTGCCTGTGTGTGTCTGTGTGCGTCAGTGTGTGTGTCAGTGGTGTGAGTGCCTGTGTGTGTTTGTGTGTGAGTATCTGTGTGTCAGTGTGTGTCAGTGGTGTGAGTGCCTGTGTGTGTGTGTCAGTGTGTGTGTGTGTCAGTGTGTGTGTCAGTATGTGTGTGTGTGTGTCAGTGGTGTGAGTGTCAGTGTGTGTCAGTCTCTGTGTGTCAGCCTTTGTGTGTCAGTGTCTGCGAGTCTGTGTGTTAGTGTGTGTGTCTGTGTGTCAGTGTGTGTGAGTGTCTGTGTGTGTCAGTGTATGTGAGTGTCTGTGTGTGTCAGTGTGTATCTGTGTGTCAATGTGTGTGAGTGTCTGTGTGTCAGTCTCTGTGTGTCAGTGTGCGTAAGTGTCTGTGTGTCAGTGTGTGTGAGTATCTGTGTGTCAGTGTGCGTAAGTGTCTGTGTGTCAATGTGTGTGAGTATCTGTGTGTGAGTCTCTGTGTGTCAGTGTGCGTAAGTGTCTGTGTGTCAGTGTGTGTGAGTATCTGTGTGTCAGTGTGTGTTAGTGGTGTGAGTGCCTGTGTGTGTGTGTCAGTGTGTGTGTGTCAATGTGTGTCTGTGTGTGTGAGGGTCTGTGTGTGTGTGTGTCAGTATGTGTGAGTGTGTCAGTGTGTGTGTGTGTGAGTGTGTGTATGTCAGTGTGTGTCAGTCTCTGTGTGTCAGTTTGTGTGTATGTGTGTGTCAGTTGTGTGTGTCTGTGTGTGTCAGTGTGTGTGAGTGTCTGTGTGTATCAGTGTGTGTGAGTGGGTGTGTGTCTGTGTCAGTATCTGTGTGTGTGTGTCAGTGTCTGCATGTGTGTCAGTGTCTGTATCAGTGTGTGTGTGTGTCAGTGTCTATCTGTGTGTGTGTGTCATTGTGTGTGTGTGTCTGTGTGTGTGTCAGTATGTGTGTGTCAGTGTCTGCGTGTGTGTGTCAGTGTCTGTGTGTGTGTGTGTCAGTGTCTGTGTGTGTGTGTCAGTGTCTGCATGTGTGTCAGTCTGTGTGTGTCAGTGTCTGCGTGTGTCAGTGTGTGTGTGTCAGTGTGTATGTCAGTATCTGCGTGTGTTTCAGTGTCTGCGTGTGTCAGTGTGTCAGTGTCTGCGCGTGTGTGTGTCAGTGTCTGCGTGTGTCAGTGTGTGTGTGTCAGTGTCTGCGTGTGTCAGTGTGTGTGTGTCAGTGTCTGCGTGTGTCAGTGTGTGTGTGTCAGTGTGTATGTCAGTATCTGCGTGTGTTTCAGTGTCTGCGTGTGTCAGTGTGTGTGTGTCAGTGTCTGCGAGTGTGTGTGTCAGTGTGTGTGTGTCAGTGTGTGTGTGTCAGTGTGTATGTCAGTGTCTGCGTGTCTCAGTGTGTGTGTCAGTGTCTGCGTGTGTCAGTGTTTGCGTGTCAGTGCTTGTGTCAGTGTCTGCGTGTGTCAGTATCTGTGTGTGTGTCAGTGTCTGCTTGTGTGTCAGTGTGTGTGTGTGTCAGTGTCTGTGTGTGTGTGTCAGTGTGTGTGTGTGTCAGTGTCTGTGTGTGTGTGTCAGTGTGTGTGTGTGTCAGTGTCTGTGTGTCAGTGTCTGCGTGTGTCAGTGTGTGTGTGTGTCAGTGTGTGTGTCAGTGTCTGCGTGTGTCAGTGTTTGCGTGTCAGTGCTTGTGTCAGTGTCTGCGTGTGTCAGTATCTGTGTGTGTCAGCATCTGTGTGTGTGTCAGTGTCTGCTTGTGTGTGTCAGTGTGTGTGTGTGTCAGTGTCTGTGTGTCAGTGTGTGTGTCAGTGTCGTGTGTGTGTGTCAGTGTGTGTGTGTGTCAGTGTCTGTGTGTCAGTGTGTGTGTCAGTGTCTGTGTGTGTCAGTGTGTGTGTGTGTCAGTGTCTGTGTGTGTGTGTGTCAGTGTGTGTGTGTGTCAGTGTCTGTGTGTGTCAGTGTGTGTGTGTGTCAGTGTCTGTGTGTGTCAGTGTGTGTGTATCAATGGCTGTGTGTCTGTGTGTCAATTGTGTGTGTGTCAGTGTCTGTGTGTGTGTCAATGTGTGTGTCAGTGTCTGCGTGTGTCAGGGTGTGTGTGTCAGTGTGTGTGTTAGTGTCTCTGTGTGTGTCAGTGTGTGTGTCAGTGTGTGTGTGTATCAGTGTGTGCGTGTATCAGTGTCTGCGTGTGTCAGTGTGTGTGTGTGTATCAGTGTGTGTGTGTCAGTGTGTGTGTGTATCAGTGTCTGCGTGTGTCAGTGTCTACGTGTGTTAGTGTCTGTGTGTGTGTCAGTGTCTGCGTGTTAGTGTGTGTGTGTCAGTGTGTGTGAGTCTCTCTCTGAGGGGAACAGTACAGCCGCAGCCTCTGACCCTGACTGTGGGACCCCCTGTTCCCACTCTGCGTGAGAGGCTCAGAGCAGAGGGAGGGAGGGCGGGAGCTTGAGAGGAAATGTGGGAGTGGGGTCACTTGATGACTGGATGCTTTCTTTCCTGTTCCTCTAGTAGCCGCTCCGCTAGTCGGCACCGCTGGGCGTGTGTTTCTGTGCAATTAAACAGATGCCAAGAGCGGCCAGAGGTTTGATGTGTCTGGACGGGAGGAGCAGCTGCTGTCAGTGAGATGTCTGTCTGTCTTGTCTGTCTGTCTGTCTGTCTGGTGGCTCGCACTGAGCCCGTGAGTGTCTGGGATCACAGACCTGATGACTGTAGTTGAGCAGCAGCCACTCCCTCCCTTTAATTTACACTCTCAGCATCTTGTCTGCTTTACGCGCGCACACAGACACACGCACACACTGAGCTCACATTCCTGCTGACAATTACTAACCATCGCAACAACACACAAACACCCCTCAGCATTGTGTGTGCGTGTGTGTGTGTGTTTGTGTGGGGAGGGGGTTAAGGGGAAGAGAAGGAAACTGGGCTTTGTTTGGAAGGGGAAGCCATGTGTCATTTGCGGAAAAAAATGTTAATTACTGTAGTTCCAGTGGGGGAGCCAGAGCTCGAAGCAGGACAGACAGGATGTGCTGAACATGGCTTCCCTTCCTTCTCCTGTGTCAAAACTTTGTATTAATTCGTAGATGGTGTGTTGGTTAGAGAGCTCGCCTCGCAAGCAAGAGGACCTGGGGCAACTTTCCTTACTCCTCCGTTTACCGAGCATTATTATTTTATAAGTTAAATTACTGTTTTTAGTTGACTGATGGATTCCTTTTCTGGGGGTAATAATTTGTTGTATAAAAAAGGATACGGTAATTTGGATACACAATCCACGACTGTTTGTGGGACACTGCTGTGCACAATTGGCTGCTGCGTTTTGCCCGTAAAATACACAGTCAATTCACTTTACAGTATATTCTGTGAAGCGGTTTGAGACGTCTCAACAACGTGATAAGGCGCCATATCAAATGCAAGGATTATTATTATGAATTCATCCTTTGGATGGGATATTAAACCAAGGTTCCGTCTGTGCCTTTTCAGGTATACGTTAAAGATCCTGTGGCGCTTTTTGAAAAGAGGTGGGAGTTTCCCTCTCCCGGTGTCCTGGTCAACAATCCCCCCCCCGCCAAATAACATCAGTCACTCACTTCATGGCTGTTTGTGGGACACTGCTGTACGCAAGTGGCTACCGAGTTTCGTCCACAAAATACACAGTCAGTCCACTTTACAGTATATCCTGTGAATGACGTCTCAAGGACGTGATAAAATCCAAGGATTATTATTATTGTGAAGCTGTGGCAAATGATGCTTCTCAGCATTGGCGGCTGAACCAGGAGGGTCTAACCCCCCCATTAAAACATTGGGAGACAGAAGTATATTTCCATAACTAAGGATCTACTAAGAATTGGATAATACTGTATATGTATGTATAGTGTAGAGATTTGAGTAAAGTAAATAAATAAAACCAACAGAAAAATAAACAGAGATATTTACCAACAGTTTCAACATTGACTTCAATACGGAATCTCTTCCTTAAATTAAATATGCACAGGTAGTTTCTCTGTTCTTTGTATCTCTCTCCTCCCTCGCTCTCTCTCTCTCGGCAGCCCTTGCTGTCACTGTCAAGCCCTCTGTTTTTATGTTGTTTCTCTCTCTCAGATAAGTGTTTCCATCACCTGTTTTGCATCGTGCAAAACCTCTCTCTGCTCCTTGTGCTTTGAAAAACTATTCCAAGTCTGGTCACCCCATTTGTCTGTTGAAGGTCAAGGTTGTGAATTTCAAAGAGCGAATTAATTTGTGGAAGGCGGGCGAGAGAGAGAGAGAGAGAGAGCGAGAACACCAACGATGTGTTCGATTTTACAGTAACCACACTCGTCTCGTTGTGTTAATGGGATTTCAGAGACCGAAAGGAAATGGTGATCTGTCTTCAATCTGTGAGCTGCCCTTCTAGCAGGGAGATTGTTAGTTGGCCAGGACCCAGGGAGAAACTTCTTTCTCTTATTGAATAGTGCCATGGAATCTTTAAAGTCCACCTGAACAGGGACCTCGGATTTAACGTCTCATCCGAAGGATGTCACCTCCAACAGTGGAGTCCTGTAGCTCAGTGGTTAGAGCACTCGCTTTGCAAGCGAGAGACCTGAGTTCAATTCCAGGCAGAGGGCGAAACCTTGGGCAAGTTTCCTTACACCACACAGAGCCTAATAATAATCCCTCCAAAACCAAAAACAATAATTAAATTGGTCATTTTCAATCTATGACTGTTTGTGGGACATTGCTGTGCGCAATTGGCTGCCGCGTTCGCCCACAAATATACAGTCAACTCACTTTACAGTATATTCTGTGAAGCGCTTTGGGACGTCCTCCCGACGTGAAAAGCGCTATATCAAATGCAAGGATTATTATTATTATTATTATTATTATTATAATGCAACAGCCCCCCCAGCGCTGCATTGGAGTGGCAGTTTAGACTATGTGATTCCAAGTACCGATGCGTTTTTTTTACCCACAACCTTTTGACTTAGAGGCGAGAGCGCTACCACTGAGCCAGGCTGGCACACAAAGGAACTAAAAACTAATATGTGAATTTTATACCCTCATTAGGACTGGTGATCTGTGTGGTGTTAAACTGGGGCATTTGGCTAAACAATGACAGGATTAGTACTATAATACTGAGAAAGGATCTGGTCAATAATCCACTGCTAAGATCTGCACAGTCTGTGAAACTCTCTCGCAAATAACATTAAAACAATCGCTCTTATTCTTATAGACATGTCACAGCAGGCTTCCATAGAAGATGAGGGGGAGGAGAAAACAGAGTTTAAAAGCAATTTAAATCTCTGACTGAGATCTCATTGTTATAGCCTCATAGCTGTGTCAGGGGTTGTGTGCGTCGCCAAGCTCAGAAATTCCACCCAAGTGTTGATTTACTCTGATTTCCTTAAGGAACAGCTCAGAGGTTGTACTTGGAGCAAGATTGGGTGTCAGCCTGATACAGTGGTAGCATTCTTGCCTCTGAATCAGAAGGCCATGGGTTCAAGCCCCACGTGGTGACTTGGAATCATATAGTCTTATAGTCTAACATTTTTGGCAGGTGAGCAGATGAAACGGAGGAGGGAGGGGGTTGGGATGAATCCTGCCCGCGGGCCACCAGTTGGACCACCCGGTTTAGGTTGACACTCCAATGCATTGCTGCTGAGGTGTTGGATTGTTAGGCGTTGCCGTTTTTCGAGTGAGACATTAAACCAAGATTCAGTCTGCCCGTTCAGGTGGATGGGATGCAATCCTGGCCAACAATCCCCATAATAAAATTGGTCACTCCGTGGCTGTTTATGGGATATTACGAAATGTTGGGCAAGTTTCCTTACTCCACATGCCTCTGTTTACCTAAGCAGTAAGTAGGAACCCAGTAAGTAGGAGTCGATTGATGGATCGCTTTTCCGCGGATAATAATCACTCAAAAAAACAATAATAATTTGGTCACTCAATCCACAGCTGTTTATGGGACACTGCTGTGCGCAATTGGCTGATGTGTTTCGCCCACAAATATACAGTCAATTCACTTTACAGTATATTCTGTGAAGCGCTTTGAGACATTTAGAAGACGTGAAAAGCGCTATATCAAATGCAAGGATTATTATTATTATTATGCAAACTGGCTGATGAGTTTCGCCCACAAAATGCATAGTCAATCCACTTTACAGTTGTCTTTGAGGGCTTATCATGATTGACAGGAATACCTGGACCTGAAACAACAACAACTTGCAATTACATAGCACCCTCACACAGGGTAGCGTCTCAAAGCGCTTAAGAATTCGGAATTTGAAATGACAGTATTCGGAAGTGGGGGGAGGGGGAGGAAACTTTTCTTGTGAGGGAAGGAGGAGTGAGTTGGCTTTTGACCTTGTAGTTGTTAAAATTTGAAACATTGCAAGAACGTGCTGTGTTATACAGTAAAACCCAAAGACTCTCTCCATTCTGTGCTCTGCTCCTTCCCTTCCCCTACCTTATAGCCAGCCTTGACAGCCATTGCTCAGAGGAGAGTCGTGCGTTCCCAATACATTCACCCTCGGTGTAAACACGGAGCATGTCCTGACTTGCATTGGTAAATAGCCAAAGGATCCCTGCAAAGCGGAACAATTGCCCTGTTATTTAGGAAAGAGAAATCTCTCCCGTCTCTTATTGTTTCAGTATTAGTATTAACATTCCGTTCTGTTTAAGAGCGCTGAGGGTGACTTATGTCTCAGTGCGATAAGGTTAAGTGCCAGAGCAGAGGGTTATTGCAGCTGACAGTGGAAAAGCTAAGTGGAAGCTGCAGTGTATAGTGACAAACGTTTTCTGCATGTCAGTATTTCACATGTCTGGTCAGACCAGACCAATTACTACTGAGTTGGGCGGTAGATGCTGAAAAACTTTACTGACCAGATTGTGACTTCTGTACAATTGTAACTGATCTCTCCCACGCTCTTAGTTATTTCGCTGTGTTGGGGTTTTTGAAATAGCTTCGAAATAGACTGATGGTGCAGCACTGTGGTGTCTGCTGGAGTGTGTGAGGACAGTTCGATGCAGCAATGGAGGCCAGTTGTTTGGTGAGTGTTTCAGTCTTCCAGTGCGTTGGGACGTCCTCCCAACGTGAAAGGCACTGTACAAATGTAATTTGTTGTTGTTGTCGTTGAGTCTGAGTCTCAGTGATGTGTGGTTCTAGAGTAGTTGCTAAAATTCAGGACGGTTGACACCCACCGCTGTTAGTAGAGCAGTGACTACTAACCTGGGAACCAGGTATTGAGAAAATATGCAGTGATTGATCTCTGGGAAAGATGCAAGTTCTCTTAGCTGTGAGAACTTTGCCATACATCCTGTTTCTTCGCTTTAGTGATAACCTCAGGAACCTCCCTGGAGAAAAGTACCTCCTTCTCACCAACTTCCTGCCCCCCACCACCAGACTAAATGAATGTGATGGCTCTGAATCCACATCTTATCCCAGTGTGGTGCTACATGGCTACTTTGTTTTGAGTTCAAGATTGCACAAAAGCGGAGATTCATTGTTCGCCTACAAAACGCATAGTCACTGCATTTTACAATATGTCCTGTGAAGCGCTTTTGCATTGGCATGTCAACAACAACAAATTGCATTTATATTGTGCCTTTCACGTCGGTGGGGACATCCCAAGGGACTGAACATTGAGATGTCTGCACCCGAGTTGTGGGTTGGGATCAGAGAAGGGTGGAGGGCAACGATGGTGCTAGAGCAGCTGGTATTCCTGCTGATATGAAAGGCACCAAATGTAAGGATTATTATGATATTATTATTGTAAGCTAGCCCCTGGGAGTGAGTCAGTGACTGTTGTGTGAGCTATTCTGATGTATATTCCGACAATGCAGTTTACGCTGTCAGGAGCTTTTTTCTGGAGAGCAGACGTCATCAACCTCGGATATTATGAGGTTTTTTTTCAACCCTTTTATCCCAATCCAAAGCCTGGAACATTTAACCTTACGTTGATGAAATTTGTGGTGACAGGCACCGATTTCTCTCACTCCCTTCACTTTATTCTTTCTGACCGGTGTGACCCACTGTAAAAAACACACAACAAGGAAACCTTTGAAAGTTGTGTACCACAGTATTCCTGGAGTTCGTTCTATTAATTACACTGAAAAACTATTTCAAGGTGTTTTCAAGAATACATGGAACTGTAAAGCCTAGCTGAAAACAAATATGTAATGAACCTCTCACTTTTGTTTCAGAAAGGAGCTGTTATGGAGGAGCACTTGCTAAGTACCAGATATTCCATCCCAATTGCCGACTGCTCAGCAACAGGAGTGCTTCCCCATCTGGGAGTCAGCGAGGAGGAGAAAAACCGTCTGCCTTGTGAATCTCCCCGGTCTTCGTATTCCGTGGCTTGCCTGAGCCCCTCAGCCCCTCAGACGTCCTGCAACCAGCCGGGCTGCAGAGTGGAATCGCCAAGACCCATAAGTCCTGATGTCTCTTCTCTGGCACCAGAACGCTACGGTACTGAGGAGGTTAGGCGTCGACTCAGATGCCCCTCCGCTCCAAGAAGCTGTACCTCGCTGGCTGCTTCCGTCTTCTCTCAGCAGTTGCCAAAAAGGGAGAGAACACCAAGCATCTGCGGTGCAAAGTTAACCGACCATCATTCATCAGACCAAATACTTAGTGACTCCTGGGCCTCTGCTCTCCCAAGCATTAAATGGCAGAACAGAAAGCAAACTGTCTACACTTCATCCTACACATCAGACTACTGGGCCTGTGCTCTCTCCACCACCTTTGTCCCACCTAAAGATCGGAATTCACCCGATTGGGACCCCGATGAGGAATACCAGGCATTGCTTGATTTTGCTTACCCCTTACGGCCCAGTTATTCCATCTCCAAGAATTCCTTAGACGACGATTATCTGGATTCTGGGATTGCGGCTGACAGCTCTTTGTCCTCGCTGTCAAACACGTTGACATCAAAGAGTGCCATGTCCCCCGCCTACCTTTCTACCGTCAACGATAGTGCCAACGGCACCTGGGACTGTGGAAGCTGGACACAAAGCAGGGATCCTCTCCCTGAATCCTCCAGTCCTTTGCATGGGTATGTCCAGCCTCCCTCCCACTTGATGTCCTGCAGGACTGGTTCTGCTCCGGTTTCCTTTGGGGAATGTTCTCCCATCAATAAAAAGCAGTTTTCAGCTAGTCTTCCCGACACTTCAGTCTCTGATGAGACATTGACCTCTCCTAGCGTTCTCTCCAAACGTTCGCTGGAAAAGTGTTCCAACCACAGTAGAGCGAGACCGACAAAACCCTATACCAGCTTGATACGCACCACACAGATCCTTCCCTTGCGTAGCGAATGGGGGAACGATGATGAATATCTGTCTCTTCCCATTCAGCTGAATGAACTGCAGGGGCTAGCTCAGCACCTAGAAAATTTCTCCCTGCATCTGGATGACCAAGCAGTCGACGTGAGCTACACGAAAAAGGAGATCGATGAGGAAACGTCAAGTTTGGGGATTCAAGGTGGCGCGGAAGATCTTGAGATGAATGACGAGAGCAGCAATGGTGACTATCCCCCACAGGGCTGCCTACAGCGCAGCACTCCTGCAATCCAGCACCCAGATCCGGAGTGTCAAGATACAATTACGGAACTGGAAAAGGCCTCTGGCTTAATAAACAGGTTGTGCAGGCAGCCCGGTCCGCCATCGGAGGCCAACCAATGGCAAAGTCCCATTGAGGAGCAGGAGCACGACCAATCTCTACTGGTTCACATTCAGGTAAACCTCAACAACGCTTGAGCTTTGACCACCAAATGCGGTGTGTTTTTAAGTGGTACGAGACACTGCCCCGCTATATAAATGCAAATTGTTGTTATTGCTCCTCACATACAATTTTATTTTGGTCAGCCGGGTGTCTGACACATGTGGAAACCCATCACCGTGCTCAAGAGTATCCAAACCAAACTGAGAATTCAAGGCATTCCCACCTACACATGAAAATTCCAGAGATAGCTTGTTGGAATGGAATGCACACTCTTTCCCTAGAGGGACCCAAGGCTTGGGGACCCCAGAGTGTGGGTTGGGATACTGTTGGAGTCTAACCAGCTAAAACCGTAGAGCTTGCCATTGATAGCATTGCTGGGGCATGTGGCCACTGACTTTCCAGACCCATGGTTCTCAAATGCGCCAGACCCTGGGGGGAGAGGGTATGTGCGAATGTGGAGTGCAGAAAGTAAATTGGTACAGATGTTTCAGAAGCTGGAAAAGCACTTAATGATACATAATTATTTATCAATTTTAAAAAAATTATGTTTAATTTAGGTAAAAGGAAAAGGTGAGAATTGAATTGCTATTATCACCAGTTATCCCATCATGTTTTTATAGGGTTTTTTTTCTAAGACTCAGCATCCTAAAATTGTGTTGTACAAAACATTGCCAATCCCTGTGTCGCCTTTGGGGAATGTTCTCCCATCAATAAAAAGCAGTAAATACCAATTAGTCTATGTAAATTCCAATCCCTGTATTAAATGTATTAAGTGGAGGTGAGGACATCACAGGCTTCCAATGGAAGGCTGAAATTACTTTCACTGACAAAATGTCAATTTCTACTCCTCAAAAAATTATTCCTCACCAGAACTAATCTACAAGTAACAATCGTGTCAGAAGCAAAATGTATTTATTGATTCCATTATATGATTTTTGCAAATGTAATATTGTTAGGAATTTATTTTAAGGCAGGTACTATATCATCTCAAAATCATGCTGCCGTATTCCTCTTTTAACAAATTTCTGGAAAACTTCTCTCAAAATATAAAATACCTGTTTGAGGTAAAAAATGTTTTCAGTGGTTTTCCACACTTACTTTGTTTGGTGAAAATATTTGTGTAGTATAACTAAAATGTCATTGAGTGATACAAATTAATTTTGGTCTTCGAACCAAGGTTGTGGGACTTAGATTGAATCAATTCCATTTCATAACCCACTGCTCTGCTTTTTGGTGTGCAGCCTTTAGTTTTCTTCACACAGAATTTATATTTCTTTGTCTGATTTTTAGAACTGTACACATGCATAAGTGCAATAGGCATTAGGATACTATAAAAAGTAGGAAGATAAGATACAAGGTACCTACCAATGCAGAAAATCAGCATAAATCATAAATTACACCATCATACTCATATTGTACATTATCCAATGATCACTAATACAGATTAGTTCCGGATCATCATTAAGGAAACTAATTTTGAGTCCTGTAGTGCAGTGATTAGTGTGCTCGTCTCGCAAGTGACAGGACCCGGTTCAATTCCCGGGAGGGGCGAAACCTCAGGTAGGTTTCCATACTCCACACGACTCTGTTTACCCAGCAGTAAGTAAGAACCCAATTAATTGTTAGTCAATTGGCGGGTCGCTCTAAAGATAATAATCCCTCCAAAAAACAATGGTCACTCAATCCACAATCAATCCAGTATTCTGTGAAGCTCTTTAAGACGTCTTTACGATGTGATAAGATGCAATATGAAATGCAAGGATACATGAAGAGGAGGGGGTGGAAATCCAGAGAAGAGAAAAAAAATCAAGAGAAGCGGAGAATTCGAGAGGATTTTTTTTAATCAAGAGGAGATGGGGGTGATCCAGAGGAGAGAAAAAATCCTCTTGATTTTTTTCTCCTGTGGATTTTTTTCTTCTTTCTTCTCTGGATTTCCCTTTTTTTCTTCGCCCTCTCGATTTCCCATTTTTACTTCTTTCTCTTCTGATTTCACCCTTTTCCCTTCTTTCTTCTCTGGATTTCATTTTTTTCCCTCTATTGTCCTCTGGATTTTTCCTTTTTCCCTTCTTTCTCCTCTGAATTTCCTTTCCCCCCCTCTATTCTCCTCTGGACTTCCCGTTCCCCCCTCTATTCTCCTATGGATTTCCCTTGTTTCCCTTTTCTTGTAGTTCAAGCACACGTTGGCTCTGCTGCAGTGAAGGGAGATTTTTTTTGGTCAGCCGGGTGTCTGACACATGCGCAAAGAATATCCAAACCAAGCTGAGAATTCCATGCGCCCATCTACATGTGGAAATTCCAGAGTAGGATTGTTGGAATGAAATGTACATAAAGTCTCCCTGGAGGAGCGCATCCTGGTTACCTAATTCCGGAAAATATAAAGCACAGTTAGGCAAGAGCCCAGGCTTGGGGACCCCAGAGTGTGCTTTGGGGTAGTGCTGGAGTGTAACCAGCTAAAACTGCATAGCTTGCCATTGATAGCACTGTCTGGCAAGCGCTCTCAGACCACAGCTCTCAGGGAGCGCTGTGAGGGCAGGCGGCGTGTGGGAGGTCGGTTATGCGCAGCCTGAGGCCACCAAAACAAAATTCTTGAGAGTCACTTATCTAGAGGAGCCTGTTTAACTCCTCGAAGCTCAATCTGAAGACTTCTTGGCACCTCTTAGCATTGTGCAAATGCTTTCCGACTCCTTTGAATATTGCACATACTGTATATAGACAGAGCAAGGCCTCAGGTTAACCCATTCAAACTCAGCAAGCTCACAATCCCTCACATTCATTCCTACCACTGATATTCAACATGGAATTCCTAGCATTATTCTGGAAATGAGAACGACCTCTATTCAAATTAATTATCGTAACAATAATCGTCACATTTGAAATTAGTTTGTTTTAATTTTTAATTGCATTTCTTTTTTCTAAGCTAAGAACAATTCCAATAACGTGTGCGAGTATGTACATATACATACAATAGTCAAATCCGTCTTCAACAACTGCTCAGGGGACTGGGCCAAAGTAGCCTTTATATAAGGGGGGCTCTGAGAAAGGGTTCATTAGTATGCAAACTGGGCTGTCCAAGAGTGCTTGTCAAGAATAACAACAAAATTACATTTGTTAACAGAGGGTGGTTGCTGAATGGAGGTTTGAGCAGGTTTGACTGTATGTTACATATAGATGAGCATTTGTTTTTTTTCATCTAGAATTTCAGCGGTAAACTGGAAGAGCTTGTCCAGTGGTTACGCACAGTCGCTGAGACAACAGAGCACTGGATACCACCAGAGCCTGAGATTGAAAGTATCAAGTCGTCTCTGAATTTGTGTATGGTAAGTTCCTTTTCTTAATACTTTATTCTTAAAAGTTAGTTTCTTAAACATTTGATGCAATTATTAATAATCCTTACGATTGATATAATTCCTTGTCACATCTTCAGAGAATATACTGTAAAATTAATTATGAAATACAATTATTGACATAATTGATTTGAGTATTTAGATACATCAGAACCGAGACACAACTGCGATTGCCAGTTAGCTGTTTGTTTAGAATGGTTCACTCACATCCTGTTGTCGTGTTTGTGTGTGTGTGTGTGGCGGGGGGGGGGGGGGTAAGGCTCAGCGAGTTAGATTCCTCAGAGATAAGGCTGGAAATCCCAGTTTCTTGAAAGTAAAATTTGCCTTACAGTTTGAGTGCTTTATCTCTTATTTACAGGCGTTTAAGACTGATGTCAATGAACACCGTGGGCTGACTGAGGCAGTGCTGAATTGTGGTGAAGTTCTGCTCCAGTCAATGACTTCCACCACCCCAAGTGAGTGTCTGAGGAAAGGAAACTGCACCTTAATGTTTTGTACTTTGATTTTAATTGAATTCGCATAATAATAGTATTATTAGTAGTAGTAATATTAGTATTAATATTACTACTAATAGTAAGATGTCTCAAAGCGCTTCACAGGGTATATGGTAAAGTGGATTCACTGTGTATTTTCTGAGCAAAAATGCAGCCAGTTGCCCACAGCAGTGTCCCACTAACAGCCATGGAGTGAATGACCAATTTTATCTGAGAGATTGTTGGCCAGGACATCGGGAGAAACTCCCTTCTCTTTTTAAATTGTGCCGTAGGATCTTTAACCCGAACAGGCAGACAGGGCCATGGTTTACCGTCTCATCGGAAGGACCGCATTTCCGACAATGCCACCAGATCACCAGCGCTGCATTGGAGTGTCATCCAGTCCTGACATGGGGCTAGAACCCAGAACCTTTTGACTCGGAAGCGAAAGTGCAACCACTGCATCAGATAGACACATGCTAACACTGTCACAAATTATTATCCAATGGGGTTGACCATCCTTTGGCATATCACTCAAGTGATCCATTATTCACATACGAGTTTTGACTTAGGGTGGGGTGGTAAGGGATCACAGCCCAGTCTGATCCTATCCTCAACCCACATCCAGACAAGACGGTCTCTAAACAGCACAAGTTTTAACAAGTCTGATTTGATGGTCACTTTTGCACATATGTTTATGACCAGAATGAAGTGCTGGGGCAGGGAGGTTAAGCTGCAGACTCACAGAGCTATGCATTTCTCTTATATAGTTCTCAAGGACACCCTTGGATTGATCGCAAACCAATCAGCAGAGCTGGACCGACACTCTAAGCGTCTGTACTCATCCATTCTTCCTGCCATGGATATTGTGAAGAATGAACTGGAAACTGACACCTCCAACAAACAGGCATTGCAGGTAAAACCTGCCTTTGATCATCCACAAATAGTCAAAACATTTTATTAGTATTTTCCTTTGCATTGTCAATGCTTTCTAATTTCTAGCTACTTCATAGTTAACAATGGTAGAAGCTATAACGTCTAAACACCCTACAGTGGTTCATGTTTCTGTAAATTGCGGCGGAGGCCAATTTGTGGATAGCAGTTCTCCACGAACAGCTGTGAAGTGAATGATTTATCTTACCTGGAGAATTGTTGGCTAAGGCCAACTATGAGAAACTTTTTTTTAATATAGTGAGATCTTTAAACGTCCACTTGAACAGGTATCATCTCTTTCGAAGGACAGCATTTTCAACAATACAGCACTTTATTGGAGCATCAGATTAGCGAGCATAAACTAATGCACATTGATGGTGCAGAACGTACTTACCTTTATTCTGCAGCTGGTTATGCTATGTGGGTTGGGAGTGTGCGATACAGCCAATCTCCATCCAATTAAATAAGTTACTCTTTCCACACTCAGCACCTTAACGAGCAGCTCTGATATAAAGGGCAATTTACCCAATAAAAATTGATTTTCTGTAAAACCTCTTAATTTGCATTGATAGTTTTTTTAAATTAAGATCAAACTACCTTTGTAATGCATTATCATTGAGTAGCAGCAGTCGGACAGGCTTTAGTTTACTGATCCTGAGGTATTACATTGCAACAACAAATTACATTTGTATAACATTTTTCACATCGGGAGGACATCACAAGGCACTGGACCGTCAGTGTTTCGGACCCGAGCTGGGGGTTGGGATCAGGGAGGGTGGAAAGGAGTGTAATTGAAAGTAAGGTTAAAGAGAAGGTTCTTGAGATGGGTCTTGAAGCTGGCAACGGAGGGGGCGAGGCGGAGTTAGGGACTGCAGGATGGTGTTCCAGAGGGTGGGGGCAGAGTGGCAGAAAGCCAGCTCACCAATAGTGGGGAGGGCAAGGTGGGGAACGTGAAGCAGGCCAGAGCAGGCAGGATGGTAGGTGGTTAGGAGGTCACAGAGGTAGAGGGGCGCAAGGCCTTGGATGTTTTGAAGATGAGGACCAGCTATCCTCTGTGGGATGGGAAGCCAGGCATGTTCGGGCGAGGATGGAGGTGATAAGGTCACGGAGCCTGGTGCGGGAGAGGACACGGGCTGCAGAGTTCTGGATGATCTGCAGCCTGTGGAGGGAGGAGTTGGGGAGGTCGACAAGCGAGGAGCTTGCATGGTCAAGCCTAGACGTTATGAATGAGCGTTTGAAGGTTTCAGCGGCCTGTGGTGTGAGACAGTGATGGAGCCGGGTGATGTTGCAGAGCTGGGGGAAGGCAGAGTGGGTCATGGCACAAATGTGGGGTAGAAAGGATAGTTGAGGGTCAACCAAGACACCAAAGGTTCTGGTCTGGCTTAGCAATGTGGAATATGCATCTATGGATGGTGATGCTGTCAGCGCCTGAGGTGAGGAGGCGCTGACGTGAGCCAATCAGGAGAGCCTCGGTCTTGTTGACATTCAACTGACAAAAGTTAGCTCTCATCCATGACTTGATGTCTGACAGACATTCTGTCAGGACAGCGGTGGTCCTGGAGTCAAGGGTGGAGGCAGAGAGATAGAGTTGGGCGTCATCTACTGTACAAGTGGAAGTTGACCCCATGTCTGTGGATAATGTCACCACGAGGGAGCATCTAGATATTGAAGAGGAGGGGACCAAGGACAGAGCCCTGAGGAACGCCGCATGAGATGGTGCGGGGGCTAGAAGAGAATCTGTTTGTGGAGATGAAGTGGAGGTAGTGTGAGAGGTAACTATTGTTAGGACAAAATTCTGCTGGTGCGCTGACTGCCAGTAACATAGAAGTGTATAGAAGAACATGCTTGCAATAGGGAATCATTTATCTTTTTCAAAGGCTCACTAAAATCTTCATAAATTTTATAACTTAGATTTGAAGGAGCTGCTGCCAAGAATCTATTTAACAAAGACATTAAGCTAAGAGTTAGTAGTGGTGGCTTCATTCTTTCATTACAACATCTACAAGTCTCCAGTGGTATATAACTTTGCAGTAACCCATGAATGTGTCGTTTATCAGGTCTTAAATTGTGCGACATGATTGAGTTGGTCTCCAGGTGGCTTTTTTATTGCTTAAACATCAGATACTCAACTTTTACCAGAATACAACGTTTTACATTCTTTCATTTGGTTTGCCCATATAATTGATACGGTTCTATTCATCTTGACTTAACTTTTGTGAATGATGTATAATTCAATTTTAAAATTATCTTGCATCATGCACACACAGAAAAACAGATATCTTAGAGTATCAAGAAGTCAATTAAAATGACAGGCTCAGGTACTGAATATCTGTTTGGCTCAGTTGGAAATATTCTCACCTTTGGGCACAAGGTTGTGGGGTTCTATTTCAGGAGTTTGATATGATCAAGTTATTGATCTAAACAAAGCATTTACAATCTGGAGTTAAAAATATAACTGCACACAAAATCAAGGGGTTCCAGACATTTACATTAGTGTTAATCAGCCAAACTAGAAAGGGATGGCAAAACCATTCATATGTCCATTTGTAATTCCTTTGGTTATTTTCTATGATTAAATAACTGCAACCATTTCAATTTTAAATATTGTTTTCCAGATGGGCGAGATGAAAGATGGCACTGACAAGATGCATGAAGCCATATGAACTTGAATCATCATTCCAGATTTAAGACAGATATGTATTTTTCTGCAGTTTAGAATAATGATTTTTTCAATCAAGTTGTATTGAACTGCATATTTCTCAAAATCTTTCAACCAACTGAAGCAATTAAGCACATATAAACTGCAGTTCAGTTTGTCATTTCTTCAGTTTATGCACTGCACTAGGACAGTATTCAGGATCTTTGGTTGTACTACCACTGGTGCCAATTTCAACTATTGTTAAATTCAGAGCACAAGTCTGAATCCAAAAAGCCAATTTTTTAAAAAAATCTAATAAAAATGGTTTAACCAAGTGTTGAATATTTTGCACTGTCTGGAACAGGAATACAGATGCTATAAGCTTCGCAACCTCTTTATTTTAGTCCCCCTATTTCCAGTGCCATACAGCAAAAGTAAGATTCTCAAATCCAGTTGGATGTACATGGGTTAGCATCTAACCCAATGGCATGTTAAATGGCCGTTCCAATGGTACACATGGGAACACCACCTACAACACAGCTTATATCCAGAGTTCTCAGCTGGGGATTTCACTGTGGTTAAACAGATTTAAGGAAACCGGAGAAAGATATTCCCATAATCTATAAATGAATTATGTTAACACAATTACAAACTTTTCAAAATGTATTTTGTGAATGCAGCAGCATCTATAACAATTTATCTGTTTTATTGCCATTTAATGAATTATTAAAATCTTCTCAGAACATCAGACAGACTATCAATGTGTGAATTATTTAACTGAGGTTTAAAGTATTTACTCATGCAGGCAATTCAAGGGAATGGTGCAAAACATCTTTAACAAAAGGACTTCAATTCATTGATTCATATTGTGCTGTTTTTACACAAATGTTTGTTTACGTGTAGCAAGAGTAACGTTAACAGTAACAACTTTACGTTCTTTACGTTTAAGAGTAACAACACCACTTTGGCACAACCAGAAACAGTATAAAGTTACACTGATTTAATAAGGTTTTTGCTTAGTAACTAAACAACAATGAAGCAGTTAAAGAACTTTAGCTGCTTGGGTTACATTTTAGTTACCAACCTGCACTAAAATTAATCTCATCAGAAGGGTAATTCCAAACAAAAACTCTTAACTGTCCAACACCTGAGTTTTAGTTCTGTGCCCACAGTTTCTATTCCTTCCCCCACCTATTATGATGCGCTCTTTCTGTCTTTGCAGCTACAAACTGGTGATTATTCTAGAACTATTTTGACATTTTTACTTTGTGTGAATTATTCCACTACATTGCAGATTTCCAAATAAAATGGTGTAAATAGCTACTCCATTTCAATTGGGTGAATAAATGTGAGTAAAGTTAATTTGATTTAGTGACTAGAGTAAAATTAACATTCCAGTCTTCTAAAGAATTAAACATGCAAAGCAGATAGAATAGTTAACCAAAAAGTTTGTTTTAAATACATAATGAATAACTCATGAGATGTGAAGGGATAAATGCCATTAAACAAATTTTATTTAGAATTGGAGTAAAAATGAATTGTAATTAATCACTTTTGAACCATGCTTAAAATGTTTTTTAGCTAAGTTTTCAAGGTATATATGGGTCCCTAAACTAGCTCTCAAAATGAAGTGAATGGTTAGCACGCCTGATAACTGTTTACGAAACCTTTTTCAGAGAAAAGAAAAACCCACCAATAATCCAGATGTACAGTTCCTAGAAATCCACAAAAATAATAAACTTGCAGTTCACTTTTAAAAGGTCATCTGTGCAAGCACCTGCACAATGAGTAATATCCCTGTGTTCAGTTAACGCAGTTTATAATTATAAATACAAGCCATCTTCCAAGGCAAAAGGGAATCATAACAACCAGTGATCTACATATAGAAAATGGTCATCCACAACCGAATCTACATTGAGATACAACAAATGCGATATATGCAGAATAAATAATTAAGACATTTAAAGCTCTGCAACAATTTAGCCCATTTTTGCAGGCCATGAAGCTCCGTGGACCATTTTGTACCACCATATTACAGTTCTAAAGTAATTCCAGTAAGTACAATATTTATTAAACATTTCTTCAATTGTTTAATATTACATATTGTGCAACAAATTACAATATTCTGCAGCCACACGCTATATGGAGAGAATATGAAGATAACTATCAGATAGTGTAATTATTCTCTTTTGTATCTCTACAGAAAATACTAGCAAAATCAGATCTGACACAAAAATTTCACTAAACTTTATTGATGTCAACAAACATGACAAACACTTGTGCTGCTTGACGTGAAATGGCTAAACTTCATCTTCAGAGGAGATCCAATGTTGACATTTAAAACATGCCATTATAAACAAATGAATTTGTTTTATAATATAAACCAACCACAAGAAATTCTGATAACAGTTATGAGATTTATGCACATTATTAATGACCTGCACACTTTTAAGGTTTAAAACAGTTCTGAAAATGAAGTTAGTCTCAAGTTGGAAATCCCAGCCAATAGTGGCTTCTCAAGTGCCTGATTTTGTTGCTGAAGAGGTGCAGGAAAAGAGACAGGGGCAAGTATGTAGTAGTGTGGCTACATACAGTACAATTCAGGCAATGTTTTACACTTGGGCTTATTAAATCATAAATTTATTAGAATGATGCGAAAAATCTTAGCAGCAACCCCCACTGGACGACTTCACTGGAGTGCTCTGGATATTTACATTTGACTTTTCAGACCCACCGGATGTAGCTCCAGGTCCCATTCGTTTTTTAATCTCAGCCGCCATTGTCATGAAGGCCTGTTCTACATTTGTTGCATTCTTTGCACTGGTTTCCAGAAACGGAATCCCAAGGGAGTCTGCAAATTCCTGTTGAGAAACAAGAGGGAAATCCATCACCTGAATTATCTTGGATTTATACACTGGTTCGATCTACACCCACCTGCATGGACAATCTACACAACCATTTTTGTGGCTTTCTAGATTCAAAATAAAGACACACAAGGTCAGGTTAGATTGACATTCTAATTAGACACGAAAAAATGTACTTTCCACGTTAAATACAACTCAAACTACATGCAGTTGCAAAGATTGAAGGTCTCCAAAATTTCTGCATGTTAAAATTGATCAATTGTATTACAGTCAACTGCAAACTGTAAGCCCTGAAATTATATCCTTTAGAGTACACAGTTTCACATCAAAATTGTATTATCTGGCATCTTCCCTTTAGGAAGAGATAACTTTGCTGGCACTTTATCTTACTGTAGTGCAGATACCAAGATATTTCATTCACCCCTCAAGGAACATAAAAACAGCGAACAATTAAGCAACCATTTCATATGTCAAGAGCTTGATTCTTACAGCATTATTCTTAAATTCATATCATGACATGCACAAAAGCCAGATTTTTAAAAAAAACTACCCTAGAGATTTTCTTTACTATATTTTGTAATGTTTCTAGGTGTCACTTAGAAAATATTGTGAAGAGTTTAAATTTTGCTGTGAACAAAACAGAAACTGAACCCATTTTAAGAAACAAATTAACAGCCCAAAACACAGAGCTCTACCAATACCACTCAGAACCAGTGAGTTGAGATATATAGATGTGTGGCTGGAGATTCATTTTACCCACCCCCCACCCCACAATTTGGCACAGTGCATCTCAATGGCATCTGGAAATAGACAAACAAATTCCACTATTCTGGAAAATCTTCCAAACTGGCTTACATTGAGTGACAGCCCTGACTTCACAGAACATACCTTTGCTGTTGTATAGTCCACCACCTTCTTTGTTGTCAGGTCACATTTGTTCCCTACCAATAACTTGTTAACGTTCTCACTGGCATAACGATCTATCTCCTGGAGCCACTGTTTTACATTGTTGAATGACTCCTGTAGGAAAAAGAAAAGTTGGAAGGATGTAATCACACTACTCCTCTCCCAAAACCAGGAACATACTCCAAGATAGTCTATCAAAGGACAATCACCCTCTAATGCTTCATTTAAGTAGTTTGAGCCTGGGCACCACATTTGATAGAGTGTGCTGTGCTGCTGCCACCTACATACATTCAGCTAGTTTTTCCTCTGACTCAGCCCCGAAAAGCTGAGACCAACTGCATTTTTCCACTGCCACTTCAGCTAAGAAAAGGTAACCCTGAAGTGAATCCAGGAAGATGTTTGCATAGTTTAGTACTATGACATAACACTTAGCAAGTGAACAGAGAACACTCTCCACCCATAGCATTTTCAAACTATTTCTATAACAATGCTTCCAGCACATTGAACAAGTGAAAACATGTGCAAAATGTTTAAATACAGTGAAAATGCTGAGAAAACCTAAGAAAACTGCACACAAATCAATGGTTAACTTGAATATTAACCATCTGATTTGAACAAATGTGCAGTAGTGAATTGAGCTCATTTCTTTGCTCAGGTAAAAAACAAGTAATGCTTGACAAATTATGTCAGTCAGCCATTATTGTAATACCAGCCCATTATATCAGCTTAAAACTGTAATTGCGAGTTCTGTGCTTAAATCATCAAGCATCTTAATTGCAATTCAGTGTATTGGGATTGACCACAAGAGCATTTTTTTTTTTTGAAACAGCTGACATTCCTATATTGGAATGTCTCCATAACCTGGTTTACGCCTAATGTCTTGGTAAAAGAGTTAAAGATCCCAGGTTCAATCACTGGAATATCAATTTAGCATGTCAGCTACACTGATCTCAGTATACCCCAGGGGAGGGGGGAGAAAAAAGACGAGAGTGTAGAAGGTCAATCAAGGTTCCTGCCCTTTTCACCATAACATAACCCCATTGCCAAGTGCATGAGTGGGTATTGGGCAAAGAAAGTATTGGGCTAAGCTATGATGCTCCAAATCAATGGCTATTTATGCAAGCTAGCAAAGGGTAGCTAGCCCCTGTGGAACCATATCCAATGGACTAGCATATTGGAGGAAAGGGAGGAATGTCAACAATTACAATAAATATCACCTCTGATTAAGAGTCCTGAATTCTCCCTGGGAAAATGTGCAAAATACAAGCAACAAGAAAAAAAACATTTAAAAAGAATAATAAAACTATTCCAAGCGACTTAAAGGCCAAAACAGTATCATAATTTTGCAAGATAGTTTTCAATGGATAAAACAGCTGCCAGTTATTCTTCATGGTTTCCTTTCTTTTTGGAACACTAATTCCGATGGCAAGTGGAGCACACTTGTACTTTATCATGTACCTGGTCTGTAACATCATACACAACTATGATGCCATGTGCTCCTCTGTAATAACTGGATGTGATGGTTCGAAACCTCTCCTGACCTGCCGTGTCCCACTAGAAGAGAAAAAAGCAATTTAAGCACTAAAATTTTCCCATAAAAATAGTTAATCCACTTTACAATATTTTCTGTGATACAGCGCTTTGAGACATCTCAATGATGTGATAATCCTTGCATTTGACTCTGCCTTATTTTTTATTATTAAGTCACAGCAAGTCATTCCTCTAGTAAAACATTAAACACAAAAGTAACAAATTTGGACTAAAATCAATCTGTGAGGGCAGATGCTCTCCTCTTCCAGAGCAACATAATAAATAAAAGTAAAAAGAATAGATATTCCTCAACTCAAATCGTTCAACTTAGAAATGAATACATTTACATTTTTAAAGCTTTACATCAAACATATTAGAAATACTTACAATTTGAAGTTTGATGGTCTTGCCATCTAACTCTATAGTTCTGATTTTGAAGTCCACACCAATTGTACTGATGTAACTTTCTGTGTATGTATCATCCTGTAAGTAGAGCATGGAGATTAACCAACAGATAAAATAAATTGTACGAGTTTATTCATCATAAGATTACAGCATGGGGTCTGGATGTAAAAGGGACATAACAAATAAATTGAATCCACCAATCAGTAGAGGCTGTATAATCCTTCACAAATTTCAAAACGCAAGCTATTTTCATGAAGGCTATGATAAATGCTTGTAGTGTCAACTTTAGACGTCACATAGCAATCTCCCACTGAAAATGCCAATGCTCTCTGGTTATAGGTTCAAATCATAGCCTTACATCACATGCTTGAAATGTTCTAACCAGAAGAAGAAAGGCAGAATGTCTGGTGCTCAGAGCACTTTGTATAGATTGGGCCAGACAACAAGTTAATGCTCTATGTGAAGGGTGCGTTATAAATGCAAGATATTGTCGCAATCAATTGTTATTCGTTAGTCTCGAAGACGTGATAAGGCACTATATCAAGTGCAAGAATTATTATTATTACCAGCTTGCTGCTGTGAAGAGCTCCATCTTGTGGCTCTTGCAAAAAAAAAAATTTCCCCAGTGTATAAACATTTCAATGTTAAACAATGGGAATTCAAAGTCAGAGGCCTAGGTGATAGCTAATTATCTAACACTTCCACACAGTTCAGTGGTGATTTTGTGGAAATGCAAAGGATTGCTGTGAACAATCTTCCATTTGTTTCAGAGGAGTGTCAAAAGTTGTAAACACATTACTGCTCATTACAAATACCTAAAACCTTCCAAACCAAATAGGTTAATAAAGCAAGACAGAACAAAACCCTTCTTCAAGTTACACACTCACTGTGGCCAGAAGTTCGACTACCTGTTAAGAGGTGACTAGCTTCATCCCCTTCCCTCCCAAGTGTATGGGGAAAGAGTGAGTATTACTCAAAGGCATTTACAATATTAATGCAATTCCAATACTACGTTTACATTACTCTCAACCCATAAATCAATTTCCTGTACATAAACTGACTGCCGTTCAATATGTGCCTTATCATACATTTGAGCCAAATGTATTTTTTAACTGCTAGACAGATTTCTGACAAATTGCTTTCAACAAGACAAAAGTGATGTGAACTATACTCTTATATTTTTTCTGACATGTTAAATGTAAAAGTGTTTCTTCTTAGAATGGGGGGGGGGGTGAGAGAAGGAAGGAAAAGGAAGTTTCTAAGATTAAATTTTCAACAACCCAAATAGGATGTTGTTTTCTTTATTTAGTACACAACCGGTGGTCAATGATACAACCCCCTCTTTGTTCTGCTTTATTCCATCTGATCATAAAGAACAGATGCCTAGATGGAACAAATACTGGGGATCAAAGTGCCACCAAAAAAACAAGTCAAATTCAGAAATCCTCTCCTGTTCTTTGCAAGTAGAATCCTGTGCACTATTTCCACACTCATTGGTCACGATTCATTGCAGAGAAAATCCCAGAAAAGATCCATCTCACTTATTTCCATTTTTGATCTGTAGACTAAAGAAATTTCCAGTTGTACACAAGTGAAAAGTACTAAACTGTCTTGTCTGTTCCCATGGAGTTGAACAGCTTTCAATGGTATGAATAAAGCTGCTAAATCAAATGCAAGGATTAAATATAATCCATAATTTCAATTTTGTAAATCAGTGTGAAACACAAGAAATCAATAAATAAATTGGCATACTGATATGGGGAGAGATTCATAAAGGGTAAAGAGGATGATACTAAGTGAAACATAAATACAATTTCAAGAGTCATTTAGGTGGTAGCAACATTTCCATAAATGACAATGTCAATGTCAAAAATATCATTGCACAGTTTCCTGACAGGAAGACTGAGGTAAGGGAGAAGATAAAGAATGAGCATATGCAAGTACTTCCACCTCCTTGTGGTGCCATCTTTAGATAAATTGTGTAGATAATTACAGATGGGATGGTAAGGCATTGTGCAGATAATTACAGGTGCGAATCTACATTCTTCTGCATCTCACAGAAGCACTGAAACCAAGAGGTTTTTGCTCTGCACAATTAAGCATTGTACAGAAACTGAGGTGGCAACATTTTTTCTAACAACTCATTTCCACCAGTCAAGAAGTCATTTACATTTGACTTGCATCAAAAATGCTCCATTAATTTACTCCTTTGAAGGCAGCAACTCATGTTGGGACCCCCAATGACCAAGTCACAAAAGATGCCAGCTACTGAAATTTAGTTTTTAGAAAGTTTACGGTTTTGTAGAATTCTACAATTGATAAAACTCGTCAGAATGAAAATACTTGACAATTTCCTTTGAAGCATTTTTATTTCATGTCTGACTTTACACACCGAGTGGCAGCTGGCAAGTTTGACCAGGAGGAACAGTGGAATGGGGAATGCCAAATTCCGTTCTCACATAATATGGGATCTTTACCCAGGGTCATCGAAGAGCAACTGGGAGGGGCAACTCTGGATGAGTTACATCCCCCTAAACTTCAGCATCACTACAATCAATTGTTGTGATCAAATCAGCACCCAGCAGAGAACAAATTCTGATTCCACAATTCGAGAACAAAACCCAGGAAATGCACTGAGAAAATGCTCAACTACTCTCAGCAAATACTATGATTTTCAATTTATTTCAAATTGATCAATCAACACGTTTTCTCAGACACTGTCTTGAGATCGGTGTTTTACGGCTGTTCATCTCAAATTCTGATGTGTGATGGTTTTAGTCTCCTTTCTCTTACTCAGTTGGAATGTTAGCCAAAAACCTGTTGTAAATACGCCCCTCAGAAAGTTTACCCATGGATCTCAAACCAGACAATGTGCAAAATATAGGTTACCTTATAGAAAACAGGACAAAAATCACAGATTGAAGAGTTTGTCAATTGTTCAAAGGATAACCTTCTAAAACTAAATTCTTGTATAAGAGATGCTTCCAATGTCTCACAAACTGTAATAGTTTCATTTTTAAAAAAACATGAAATTCATACAGAAACCGAAAGCGAGAGTGGCAGTGTTTAGAGTGTACTTGACAATGATAATAATCATACAAACTGAAGACTTTAAACATAATGATCACTTTAGGTTTCATCACCACATACCTAGTGTTTGTAAGAAAGTGACCAAAGTTTAAAAAAAGGCTGCATTAGTACAAACCTGGAGTTTTTTTTTGGCAACATTTACAAACATTTTAGTTTTTTCCTGGAAGGAGCTCAGGAACATTTCTAAAAATAACACAACTTTGTAGCAAAAAGTACATCTTGCTACTTTAAAATGGACATTTTAAATTAATTGATCATCCATCAAAAGGTGTACTGAAAAGTTGATTAAAGCAAAGGCTTCCCGACTTGACATCCTCCACAAAACTAGATAGTGGGATAGAAATTCATGTTTCATTCCAATTAAGAGTGATTTAACACTGAGAACACACTTTTTGGTTCATACAACTGCACTTATTCTGGTAGTGGATTTAGAATTATTCAGATTGCACAAGAGTGAAAAATCTTGTCTTTAGAATGACTGAACAGCTGTTAAAAAAAATTCTCAAATCTAGAATCAAAGACCCAATGAATAAAATTATACTTACTGCAAATCTAAGGAGGAGGCAAGACTTCCCAACACCAGAGTCGCCAATAAGGAGCAGTTTGAATAAATAGTCACTGAAAAATAAAAGTGCAACTGTAAGAATAAAATAATTGGAGCAAATTTGGTGTTAAGCAGTGAAACAATCACTACAGTGAATCAGCCCTGGTTATTACAGTACTTGAATGAATATGATTTTCTTCTCTCCCGACATTTCTCTCCTCTACCCAAAAATACATGGACTCCTTCACGTGTTTAATATCAAGTGTTTAATACCATGTGGCGACTCCTCACGTGTAAAACTTCACATGTATCCTGGCCAACAATCTACCAGATAGACTGGCCATTTGCCCCATGGCTGTTTGTGGGACCTTGCTATGTGCCAAGATGTCTGCCACATTTGCCTTCAGCCACTGCACTTAATAATTCCAAGTATAAGTCCTCATAGAAAATGTATTATTTCTTACAGGTCTTAAGTATTTTCATGAAGAATTCAACAGGAACCTTACAAATTTGCCTAAGAAAGTTCTTCAATTAGATTTCATTTCCAATAACAGAAGAGTATTTGGAAGTATTTCTAAACTTCCAAAACAATATTTGATAGGTAGACAGCGCAAGATTCTTGTATATGTGAACACACTTGAGATTTCTCTCAATTAGTCAAAAACAGTCTGCTAGCATAATGCTGCTCTTCAAAACTGGTAGAAAAGGCACTTAAACCAGGTATTTTTCTGTGAAAATATAAAAATGTCAAATACTTTGAGGAAAGCTATCATTGTAGACATACTTAGTGAAAGCTTCTGAGGCAACAACCAGATAACAATTCATACTGGCAAGTGTCCAGCAATACAAATGTTTGCTCTATTGCAATCAAGATGACTCAATGAGCTAACTATAAATGCAAATAACTAGATGATTCACTCACTTGCCAATTTCAGGCCCAAAGTTGC